AGGCCAGGTCGGCGCGGAGGGGCCGATTGACGGTGCTCTCTAGTCCCTGTCCCCTCTCCGGGTGTAGGTGCTGTGGTATGAGAAGGGAGACGTTTGTAGGAAGGTAACAGGGAAGCTTTGTGGTTCCTTCGGAGTGCGCGGCCCCGGGGGAGCTAGCTGGAACCCATGCACAGTGGAGGCAGAAGTTGTCTTCCATCCTGGCTGCAGGGTCACGTCTCTGCAGGGAACTCAATGCTCCTCTCGTGCACCTTAGTGCTTATCAGATTATACATTAAGCACACGTGGCATATCTATTATTAAAGCACTTGTGTGGAGCCTGTTGCTGCAGCACCGTAACTGTGATAAAGATGCTTTCCAGTTTTGTGCAGACTATCTCAGAAAGATGTCTGGGAAGCATGTGTTTCCAGCTTGTTCTGAAGGATATGAGGTGGAGAGGACCTTAGAGCCAAACTGTAAAGGCTTTGGCTTGCGAAGGAAGTGTAGTGATAAGAGGGGACAGAGCAGAAGCTGAAGAGCTTACAGCGTTCAGGAGTTACTCACCTTATCCCCATATCAGTCTCGTGCATAGTGGGATGAGCTCTGCAAGCTTGTATTGTCCCTGTGTTCTTGCATGCGACCTTTCTTTCTCTCAGTGTATCTCTGATTTCCGCCCAGCCAAGCCCCCTTTCCAAAAATGTATGATATGTCAGCAGTCTTCTGACAGTCCACTTCCTTCAGAATGCCTCTTTGAGGGTCCCTTTTTGACATTAAGGAATTCACAGATGAGAGGGATGGGAAGGTGAGCAGGTAGCTAGGCATGCCACTTTCATGCCCGACACAGATTTTTTCAATGACTGATTAATGATAGGTGTTGCTTAGGGACTAAAATTTTATATGTGAATGTAGATGAGTTGTAGGAATATTTTCCATAGCAAGAACAAAATGTAGAGTTTTTCCTGAACTCGGTTCATACATTGGTTGAAAGGCAAGGGGAGAGGGTATCTATCAGGCATGCAATTAAATAATTAGTTTTTCTTGAGTAATTGTTTTGGCTTTAGCAAACTGCTGGACCTCTCCATGCTCACTTCTGCCATGTCAGGTTTATATGACAATGCAAAATACGTGATTTTATTTTTTTCAGCTTGCTCCCTCCTCACCAGCCAGTGGAACAGACATGCTAAGAGCCAAGGATGCCCTCCTGCGCCTGTGGCCCCACCACTGCGCATGCCTGGCACAACTTCCAGCCTGCCGGCTTGTGTGGCGCTCGCTGCACAGGCAGCCGCTGCACCCCGACTGGGCTGCCCTTGCCCAAAAGCAGCTGAAAGGCAAGAATCCAAAGGATTTAATTTGGCACACCCCAGAGGGGATCGACATCAAGCCCTTATACTCGAAAAGGGACACGGACGACCTCCCTGAGGAGCTGCCAGGGATGAAACCTTACACTAGAGGACCCTACCCAACCATGTACACGTACAGGCCGTGGACTATTCGCCAGTATGCTGGCTTCAGTACAGTGGAGGAGAGCAATAAGTTCTACAAAGACAACATTAAAGGTAAGACAGCTACTTTAGGAAACCACATTGCCTTGCAAAGCAGTGGGGATAGTTCATGTGGTGAATTACATGGTGAATGTAATTATTCTGCCTTGTGAGTTTTGGTTTCTGATAGGATCTTCCCAACAGCACTGTGTTTCGTTATTACTGGGTAACTGGATCATTTCTGAAACTGCCTTTGCTCCATTTTGCTATTGAGATAGAAAAACTATTTTTAGTTATTTTGCCTTAACACTCAGAGACACGTAATTTGACTGTATCCAAGGGTCCAGCTAGCAGAGATTTTATGCTCATTTTGTGACTGTGAGAGAACATTGCAGTGGAAAATGATGTTGAATGTTGTCACTTAGCTAAACTTCTGGTGTTAGTGCATTCTGACATTTTGGGTTTCCATCTCGTATTATAAATTCTAAATGAACTCATAAATACATATTACATGTAAGTACTTCATCTGTGGTACTTTTATTTCCCACTTTACAGTCCCTCTTACTTAACACATAATTGGTTGGAGGGGGTGTGTTTGTGGATATTTATCTCCTGTGATAGTCATGGTTAGCTAATATGAAGCAGTATTAGCTGCTGTAGTATCCTTGGAAGTTACAAATATAGGGTATTGGAAGTTTGCAAACAAACATTTCAATAGAAAGATTATTCTGAATATACGTGGTCTTACTGCTGAATGCTGCTGCTGATGCAGAAGGGCTAACACTTGGGTTAGCTGGTGGCACAGCTCAGTTACTCTATGTTTGCTGCCATCTTTATTCAAGTTTTGAAATTGTGATATTGTAATTTTATCTTATTGTGTCAATGGTTGTATTAATATTGAATTATTTAGCATAGATTCAGAATCAGACCTTGTTATTTCTAAAGCATTTTTAATAATTAAATTAAAATCTCTCTGTAATTGGAGGAATTCTGAAAAAATTAATTATCAGTTCTCATAATTGCTGAAATTTCTTTTGCTTGAAACAAGGCAGAAATCTACATTTATATTGTTGTGCTTCAGAGCTAACACTTAGTTTTTCAGATCAAAGATGATAGCTGGTATCTGACGAGAGCTCTGCTGCTGTTGAGAAGGAGATTTGCAAATGCAGTAGATAGTTACTTCAGGACCAGCAGTGCTGGGCAGAGGGTGAATGCTGGGGATAGCAGAGTTTGGGGTACCACTTTCAAGTTGCTACAAGTCTGCCAAGAACTCTTAAGTATCCCATTCCCTACTTTATGAGTAATTTTCTCCTACTGCAGATTTAGTAATCTATCACTTTGCTTTACAAATAAACAACATACATTACTGCAGCAGGGTAACAATCTGTGTGCATGTGTTTAATTTGTGATAAAGAAAAGGTAATGTGAAGTTGTTTATCACACTTTTGTTTCCAGCTAAGATAAGTGGAATTGCTGTGTTTAAGCCCTGATACTGTCTGTCTATGCACATTTGCAAATCATGGCTAAACTGTTATTCAGTAATTTGTTAAGCATAGTAAACTGATTGTGTGACTGAGTCAGAAGGGCTACAATTTATTTTTTTTCCTCAATTAAAAGCTTTTTCATTTAAACTTTAAGACTAGAAGACTTTGAACATGTTTCAGGAGGGAAGAGTGTTTAACATCAAAAACTGGTTTATCATACAAGCCTGAATCATGTAAAATAAAATTAATGAATTTGATCCAGTTCTAATACAAGTCTGCTCAACACTTCTGAATCTCTTTCTTTCTTGGTTGTTGTTTTTTTTTCATTTCTTTTTCATTTAGCTGGCCAGCAGGGATTATCTGTTGCTTTTGATTTAGCCACCCACCGTGGTTATGATTCAGACAATCCACGAGTTCGAGGAGACGTTGGGATGGCCGGAGTTGCCATTGATACAGTGGAAGACACCAAAATCCTTTTTGATGGAATTCCTTTAGAGAAAATGTCAGTTTCTATGACAATGAACGGGGCAGTCATTCCCATATTGGCAACATTCATTGTAACCGGAGAAGAACAGGGAGTGTCTCAGGCCAAGCTGACAGGGACAATCCAAAATGATATCTTGAAGGAGTTCATGGTCAGAAATACCTACATTTTCCCCCCAGAACCATCGATGAGGATTATTGCTGACATCTTCCAGTACACCTCAAAGGTATTCCTTGTTTACATTTATTTACGTCTGTTATTACATCTAGTTAACTACTTATGAGGCACTTTGGAGAACAAAGCAGAAGGTGGGAAGATCTGTCATACTGATGAATGATGTGGTTGTAGAAAGGGCCAGGAGGAGAAGTTAAGATCCCAAATCACTTAGAGCATTAATTTGAAGGTTTTTTTAAGTCAGTCCAAATAAAAATCAGATTAAGATGAGCCTAAGCCTGAAAGGATGTCAGGAAGCTTATAAGACAAGGAACAAACAGGCTGTTCTTTGCCCCATGATTAAGAAACATTATATAGCTGCAATCAGGAGCAAAGAGGGAAGAAATCTTGAAGGACTTCTGCTGCAAAATTAAACATCAGAAGGAGGTAATGAAAGGGATGAAATCCTGAACCGATGACTGGAAGTTCAGTACTAACGGTTGTTTTCTTAGTGGCATTTTCATTGAAGAGGTGGCACACAGCTTGTAACTGAGAAAGATAGCATGGCAGGTGATAGTTTAAGCATGTGAAGTAAACATCTGCAAATATCACTTAATAGACATGGTTTGTATTCACAGTCTACAAAGAATGTATTATTCATGACAGTTGATAGAACAGTTGTCTGATCCCCCCTTGTGCTGTTGTACTTTGTGGTCTTTTATTTTTACAGCATATGCCAAAATTTAATTCCATTTCAATCAGCGGGTACCACATGCAAGAGGCAGGAGCTGACGCTATTCTGGAATTAGCTTATACTATAGCAGATGGCTTGGAGTACTGCAGAACTGGACTTAAAGCTGGCCTTACAATTGATGAATTTGCACCAAGGTGAGATAAAGATACTTTTAAGTATAAAACTCACTTTTGTTAAAATTCTAGTTTTACCAAAATTTTAAGAGAATGTAAAAGAGTTAAATACCAAGTTCAGTATTTTTACACATAAAAGCAATATTGGCAGTGTTCACATTGCAGATAGGGTTTGTTTTGGTTTTGTTACACAGTTTCAGTGGTAGGAAAATATGTCTGGTCCAGCAGACACTTAGACTATGTCTACACTAATAAACTGAATAAAGCACGCTCACAAGCCCAACCATTGTCCAGGTCTGTTGCAATAGTTGGTCTCTGATCAGAAAAGGATCTCTAAGCTGGTGTATTGAATACAGTTGTAGCTGTAGGACTGCAGAATGCAGCAAGAGCTCTTGCACTTCTTTTAGGCGGTAGTGTTGTTTTGAGGTTTTTTTTAGTAGTAGCAGTTTGAAACATTTGGGGAAAATGCTTAAGAAGGGGAAGTTCAGGTAGTTCAATTTACAGTTGCAAATTTCTGAAAATAAAATTTTTAAGCAGAATGTTGTATTCTTATATAGCTACTGCAAAACTAAGCAGAAGCAGTGTCAGTGGTGTGGTTGATTTACAGATTCCTTAACTATATGGTGAGTCTAAAAACCAAAAGATGTGGTTCACATAGCTTCTTGCACATTCACAACTAAAGGAGTCAGCTGAATTAACCTATTTCCAAGATCTGTGGCAAAATCCAGGTGAATCATTCAGAAAAAGGCACGGCCTTACTTTTAGATTTTCTAGTTAACAAAGTATTTGTAAGAGCCTTTGGCAAATTATTTCAGTAGCTAATTCCCTGTTAAAAAGGCATCTGTAGTATAATACGTTTTACTGGCTTTAACTGTCATGTTTACATTTATATATAATAGAAGCTGTAAGTAGGGAAAAGAGATCAGTCAGTCTGTTCTCTGATATGCTTGCCAGTATTGAACTGTTTGTATTTTGATTAAAATCATCAGTAAAAGAATGAAAACATGCTTATAATATGTAATGTCTTTTCATTATAAGTAGTTTGTGAGCATAACTACACTGGTAGATTGTGACCACAAGCATTCCCTGGCAGTGGGGTGTCACTGTATTAGTGATGTGCTGGAATACCACTTGACCTAAACAGTCTGTGGGGACAATTCGGCAGTTTTGGATCATTGTCTCTGGCAGTTTGGCTGCAGTCACTTTGTTTGGAAGCTAAGTCCTTTTATTGGCATAAATGCACATCGTTCTGCAGCAGCGGACATCAGTGTCCAGGAACATTTCCATCATTTTATGCCTGCGTTACATCTGTAAAATTAAATTAATCAGAGACCTTGCTGTGGAGCTTCTCCTTTACTGAAACAGAGTTACTATAATGGTTTAATGTTTTATCCTGTTCATGTACTGTTATTACAGGCTCTCCTTCTTCTGGGGAATTGGCATGAACTTCTACATGGAAATAGCTAAGATGAGAGCTGGGAGGCGGCTGTGGGCTTACTTGGTAGAGAAGATGTTTAAGCCCAAGGATCCCAAATCTCTTCTGCTGAGAGCTCACTGTCAAACTTCGGGCTGGTCGCTCACTGAGCAGGTTAGATATTGGACTCTTATCAACTTCCTCATTTAAATATGTTCTCATGGTGTATATCTTAAAGGGGGCTGCTGATTTTACTCGTAAAGGTGCAGCTTTCTGAAGGAGACAGTCTGTCTTACCCTGACAAATGCACACACTAGCACTGGATACATCTTTTTGCTTATGTAACACATAAGTCTTGTTGAGTTCCAGCAGCATTGCTTCCCAGAATACTGCTTTACAAAATATTTCAGTATTCTGGACTGCCCTGTAGTGCTCAAGTGAAAGGCAGAAACTGAAGACTTGAAACTATGTTCACAAAAAGATTCCAGTATGATGATAGGCAGAGTTTCAGTGCCTAACTTTTCATTGGCTGCATTTTTGTTCTGGAAGCATACATGCATCTAGTCTAGTGAACACTGAATTGAGAGCAGGATCCAAACCTGCTAAGCAGAGAAAAGAATCACAGAGAGGCACTTATATTAATTCAGGACTCAGAGGATGAAGCTTTCTCTTGGATTTGACCTGTAAGTTATCCTTTCAAGATGCAGCTGAATGAGGAAATAGAGGCACTTTTTTTTCAAGATCAGTGGCTTGAGAATTCATTTGAGCAGCCAAGGAAGTCATTTGTGCCCTTGACTCTCACTGCTGAATAGTGAAGTAATGGTTACAGTTCTGCTTTTCTGAAACTGGGTACACTGTCTGCTCTTCCTGTTGAATTATATCACAAGAAGAAAATAAATCATTGGACTTCATGTAGTTTCCCAAGTGAGGTCAGAGCTGGGTTCCAGCTCTTATGCTGGAATTAATTAATTATGCTTCTCAATTAAAGTCATGCAATCTGAGTTATTTTTAGATTGTCATTGCAACCATTGTGCCTTGGTTTTATTCTTTTTTTTTCCAAGCAACTGTAATGTTTACTAACATTACAGAAACACAGTAAAACTAAAACAGTGGAGTTTTCTGAACAGTGGCATTTGCAGGTCCTCCAGTTGAAAGTGTTGTATGAGTACAAAGTGTATGAATATTACCAAAAGTATGTTCAACCGTCCTCCAGTGTCCAGTGTAAATATATTTCTGTCTGGATTATAACCCTTTTTTCCTGTCTAAATGTTGTTTATCTTAATATAGTTCCTCAGTTTTTACTTCTTATAGGTCTCAGAGGGCGAAGATATTTTCCTTTGGCCTGCCTTTAGTAGGTATCCACTTATAAATTAGGTTTTACATTCTTGCCCATCCAAATCACATTTTTCTGTAATTCTTTAAATGGGGTATTTGAAGCAGAAGTAGATTCTAGCGCAGGTAGAATTACCGTGTCCTTGTGAAATAGTGATACTAATTCAATTTTTTTTTTTTTTTATGGAAGATAAAGTAACTCACAGATCTCATGCTTTATTTTGCCTTCTTCAAGGTCCTATTACAACTAAGCATGTTAAGAATGAAGTATGCAATCTGAGCTATTGTAAAGTTCCCTTAATAATCACATTAAATTAAACAGGCAGCTGCAGTGTGTGATTCTTCACTCTACTTCAGAATGTAAGTCACCCCCTGGAGATCATAGAATCATATGGTTTGGGTTGGAAGGAACCTTAAAGCTCATCTAGTTCCAACTCCCTTACCATGGGCAGGGACACCTTCCACTAGAGCAGGTTGCATCCAACCTGGCCTTGAACACTGCCAGGAATAGGGCAGCCACGGCTTCTCTGGGCAACCTGTGCCAGGGCCTCACCATCGTCACAGTAATGAATTTATTCCTTACATTGACCCTAAATCATGGTAACTCCTCTTTGACTTTAAAGGCACATATATACAACTCAACTCACTAAATGTCTGAAAAAAGCAGATAAAAATTTTCACCTAAAAGATGAGATTATATTCTGTAATACTGGCTCTATTTCTGTACCTTGTGCTCCAGATTATCCTTCTGTTTTGGTTAATATCCCATTTCTCCCCCAGTTTTATAGCACCAGCAAATTTAAACCATCATTCCTGTCTTTATGTAATGCTGTCATTATTGAAAATACTAAGTACATTTAGTTCCAAAATGGAACTTGACTAGTAGCCTGTCTGGCAGATGAGCTGTTCACTACTCCAAGAATTCTAGTATCTGAGGATGGAGAACACTGGGACTTCCTGTTCCATCCTCTCCAGCCTGGATTCATGAAGTTCTTTGAAACACCTCTAAATAGAAGTTAGGCTTTGCTTTGTTACCATGACCAGTTTGCTCGTACACTGATAATTTTGGCTTTCTTTCTGGATTAATCTCTTTGTCTGAGACACTGATAAGTGATAGATCAGTTTGACTGGATGCTGATTATTGACTGTTCTTTTTCTGCTTTTGTTATGATTACAGTGTTTCAGTGGGGAATCTTGCATTCATTTCATTGCAGTGTAGTACATGTGTGACTAATGTTCTTCAGCCCTGTGGCAGAACCATTGAGCTTCAGAGCTGTCCTTTTCATTCCAGGATCCCTTTAACAATGTTATCCGTACTACAATTGAAGCAATGGCTGCAGTGTTTGGAGGTACACAATCTTTGCATACAAATTCATATGATGAAGCCTTGGGTTTGCCTACGGTGAAGAGCGCTCGCATTGCTCGGAACACACAGATCATAATTCAGGAGGAGTCAGGTATTCCTAAAGTGGCAGACCCCTGGGGAGGATCTTACCTCATGGAGTGCCTCACCAATGATGTCTATGAAGCTGCTTTAAAGGTCAGTTTGCATAACCTTTTATGTGTTGTGGGAAAATTGGTATAGGAGTTTTGAGAAATGTCTCTTAAGGGACTGTCTGATAGGTTAGTAACTTGTAACCAGGCAGTCATTTTACACTTACGCTTCAGTGATTTCTGTGTAAATGAACTTCACAAAAATAACTGTATGTTTAGAGAGAGACACTTCTAATAGAAGCTAATGAATTCATGGAGTTTTGGTGATAAAATGTTCCTTTCTTGATGTCTCGTAATTTATGTCAAAACCTGTAGTCAGAGACACGGAGATAGGAAACACACTTTTAGAGCACAGGACTGTATATATAGGTGTAACATAAATTTGGATGACAATACAAGTGCAAACCTAGTTTTCTGAAGAACCTTGCTACTGTTCACTTTCTCAATCCTCTTCATTTCTCAGCTTGTTGAGGAGATAGAAGAAATGGGTGGAATGGCCAAAGCTGTTGCTGAGGGAATTCCTAAACTTCGTATTGAAGAGTGTGCAGCCCGAAAACAAGCCAGGATTGACTCTGGTAGGAAGGAGAGAGATGAAAGAGGGAAAAACTGCCAATAGAATACCTTTGTATAAAAGGCTTTTTACACACATTTTCGTTGAGGTTTTATCTTCTTAGTTTAGGAGTAGCAGTTTTTTGAGAGATAAAATGGTAATAGTTATATGTCAGTGAAAGCCTTGGAAAAGAAATAGCAGTAAGTATGAAATACAGTACCAGTATGAAAACAGTCCTGCTTGATGTGTTTAAGAGTAGATTAGACAAAGCACTAGAAAACCGTTTTAAAGGAGTATTTTGGGCCTTCAGTTGCTAATCACTTTATTTCTGATAGTATCTTTAAACTGTGATTCTTGAATTTAAAGGTATGACTGCCAGCAGATGGCAATATTGAACGTATCTGGCCAAATTCCTGGTTTTGCTTGAGAACTGCCCTTTTTTCCTGAAGACCAAAAAAAAAGCATTCATCTCAGATTAGAGTATGATTGTAACTCTTTCTTTGTGATATATATATATATACACACATGCATATGTATACATATAGTAAGTGTAGTTGGAAATCTGTATACATGTGTGCTTATAGCTCTAGTCCACTCTGTAGTCTGCATTCCAGTTGCAGTCCAGTAACAGAAACTAGGGATAACTCAAAGATGAAAGAAGTTATATGACCTTTTTTGTTTGGAGGATAAATTTGAAACAGGTCTTAATTAAGACCCACAAAGAATAATCAATAACGTTCAGTGTTTTGTCTCCCAAGGTAAACTACTTCATTTTGCTTTGAATAGCATAGTAATGTTACTAGGCAGTGCAAATAAAAATGGTTAAGTCCATACTGACTGAAAGCTGGAGTACAGATTTCCAACATGACAAATTAATTTTTATATACATGCAGTAGTTTTGGGTAGGAACTCCATTTCCTTATTTCTCTGGTAAATCAGAAAAATAAATGCAGAGTAGTGCTGGAGGTGAACACTTCTGCTTAATTCAGAGTAAGTAAGAGTCAGTTATGTAAACTGAGAAAGACAAAATAGCTAATGCACACTGGTGACATTATTAAATCAGTTGTAAGATAAATATTGTTCTAGTTCAAATCTTTTTTTCTGGCCCAGTATTCACCAAGTTGAGTGTTCATGCATCTCATCATAAAATATGGAAAATACAGACTTAAGTCTTTCCTGTAGAACAAACTCTATGTATTTGAAATGTATGTAGTTATAAAGCAAAGCACTGCATTATAATGCTCAAAATTTTCTTCTCCTATTAATATTGTGTTTTTTCATAGTAGTTTGCAAATGTGTTCTGAGTTTCTGGTGTTTCCACTGGAAATAGGGTCTGAAGTAATTGTTGGAGTAAACAAGCATCAGCTAGAAAAAGAGGAGGCAGTCGAAGTTCTGGCTATTGATAATACTTCAGTCCGTAGCAAGCAGATCGAGAAGATCAATAAGGTGGGAACAACATTCTTAAAAATGAAAGTTCTTCTACTTGCAGATAGAACTTGAGTAAAGGTGGCTTGCCAGAAACTTGACCCTCAAATTCCTGGGAATCTGCTGTAGTCTTTAGCAGAGAAGCTGGATTCCTGTTCCGCTTCAGTGGAGGCTGATGGAAAATCCCAAGAAACACAGTATTATCATTGCAAACAAAAATGTTTTTGTTACATTCATTTAATTTTAATCATTGTATTTCAGATAGTCTCGTGAATATGTCTAACCTTTCAAAATGAGGAACTTTATGTTTTCTGAAAATAAGATAGCAAATAGCTATGCAATGATTTGCTCTAAAGAAATCTACCATTACTTAATCACTCAGACTATTTATTGCAGCTTGTCAAGTGCTATTAAGGGGCAGGGTTATGGAAGCAGAAAACAACTTCCTTTTTGATAATTAGTAAGAATGTGGAATTTTTAAAAGTCTAAGACACCCTCTTACTTTGAATCTTACTGATACACAAATTGCATATATTGACAATTGACAATTCCATGCCTCTAGAATTGATATTTGACATCAGTTCACTTTGTAGTTTGTTTTAAGTTAATATTTTTCTCTTCTGTGTTAGGTGAAGGCTAGTAGAGATGAAGCAGCAGCCCAGCAGTGTCTCGCTGCTCTAACACAGTGTGCTGCGACTGGGGAAGGCAACTTACTTGCACTTGCAGTGGAAGCAGCACGTGCAAGGTATTGAGGGTGGGGGTGAATATCCAACTGCTGTTTAAAAATTGATGGTTCGTTTTCACCCTTTAGCTGTTCATCTATATGGTGTCAGTGAGGTTGGTGTCTTGAGATGTTTTGAGTTTTTCTTCAGATGTGGAAGTAAAAGATGGCTGCAGTTTGACTTTGTAAGATAGACTATTACATTTTACAGTTTCTTAAGGCTATGCTTTAATTTCTCACAAAGAACAATATGGGTACAAAGAATCTTATGAAACAATGTTGTTCATACACATTGTGTTGCTTGCAACTCAGATTCTTACCAGTTTCAGAACGTAACTAGGTTTCTCTATCACCCTGCTGTTTCACAGGTCAGGGAGCTTAAGAAGTGTCTGAGAGGTGAAAATGGATATTCACAATCTTCTCATGGTCTGTTGCTTCATCCTTCCTTGCACCATGGATTTGTGTGAAAACATTTTTTGAGTGAAGGAGAAATGTTAGTCAGGCAAACACGTAAAAGATGCTCTTGAGTAGAGCATCAAGGCATCCTTCGGAGTCCAGTGGAATATTTACTTTTTTCACCTAAGGTGCTTTTAAGACTCTTTTCTTTACTACTTCAAAGTAAGCGTTCATCTCTACAATAGATCCTAACTGTCTGTTCCTCAATTAACTAAATTTGACGAAGCGTGGGGAATCACTGAGCACTTGAGGGCTCTGGTAGAGCACGGTAGGTCAGCAGTAATTCTGAGCAGTGCAGAAGTTCATGAGGTGCAGATTACAGTTTACGTACAAATACACTGCCTTTGCCACCAGACATTTTGTAGGGGTTATAGGCTGATAAAACACAAAACAGAGAATATAGCTGTCTTTTGGTCTCCACTTCAAAATTTTATTTTTACTTAACACTCCAGATTAGGCTGTAAATTACCTGTTAATAGGTAGACAAAGGGTGCTATGAAAACACAACCGAGAGCAGCCCAGCAGAAAGGGGTCTGGGGGTGCTGGTCAACAGCAGGCTCAGTGTGAATCAGCAATGTGCCCTGGCAGCCAAGAGGGCCTACTGGGGTGCATAATACTGTCTGTATTATCAACCACTCAAAAGAGGTTATTATCCCGCTGCATTCAGCATTGGTGCAGCCTCTCCTTGAGCACTGTGTGTAGCTGTGGGCCCTGCAATTTATGAAGCACGTGAAGGTCCTTGGATGCTTCTAGAGAGCAACAAAGCTGGTGAAAGGGCTGAAAGGAGCATCCTGTGAGGAGCAGCTAAGGAATTTGTGCTTGTCTGGCTCAGAGAAAAGGAGCCTGAGCAATAACCTCATTGCTCTCTACAGCTTCCAGAGGAGGGAACGTGGAGAGAGAGGTGCTGAGCTTGTCTCCCTGGTATCCAGTGATAGGATATGTGGGAACGGTTCAAAGCTGCACCTAGAGGAGACCTAGACTGTGTATTGGGAAGCATTTCTTTACCAAGAGAGAGTGGTCAAACACTGGAACAGGCTTCTTAGAGAGATGCCTCGTTTAACAGGCATTTGGACAATGCCATTAACAACATGTTTTAACTTTTGGCTAGCCCTGAATTGGTTGGGCAGTTGGACTACATGATTGTTGTAGGTCCCTTCCAACTGAAAAGAATCAATTTTATTCTAAAAACACACAATTCCACACAAGGCAAATGTGCATGACAGTCATATGAAAAAAACACAATTTTCTACAATGAAGACAGTTACTTCTGTCAATTTTGTATAATTATGTAGTAGTTTTTTATCAGCATGTGTTGAAAAAATGTAAATGTGTAATAAGAATTGTTGTTTATGGTACTTAAGTTTTATAATAGTGAGATGAAAACAGTTGTCTCCAAAACAAAGTTTTGCTGTAAAAATAAACAGAAGTGAGAGGGGATTTATATATCCAGATTGTAAAGGACTGGTCTAATGTTGTGGCTAGCTGATTGGGGGTTGGAACTAGATGATCTTAAGGTCATTTCCAACCCTAACTATTCTATGATTCTATGATTCTATGATTAAAGAAAACTGTAATTGTCATTAGAAGTATGCTTTTCTTCTCCCCTTAAGAAAGGAGGCTCCACACAGAGGTATTCCACTGTGGATGCATATATAGGAGAGATTTTTTTTAAACAATATTTATTGGTAAATGGTAGAAAAGCATTCATGAGTAGTTTAAAAGCAAAACTTCTGTTATTAGGAACTTCAGATTTAAAGGGTTGTGGAGATTTGGGCAGAGTTTTCAAAATACAGGGATTTCAGAAGCAGTATTTACAGAAGAAATAAATGTATTTCATTTTTTGTGCCGTACATACAGAAAAAACTTTGCCCCAGCCACCAGATGATAGTTCAATAAAATTGATAGTCCAAACCATTTATTTTTTGCTTTATACATGAAACTTTCATTCACACTTTCACATACTAAGAACAGAAAAGCACACCACATCTACATGTGCTGTGCTTTAATTTAACGCTGAAGTTAAACTCGGATGCTGCTTCTGCAAAGGAGAAGGAGAAACACTTATCTAAGATACAGTTTTCTAGAAGAAAAGACCTGGGCTGTGCCACTGCAAGGCCTTCACCAAACTGACAGTGTTTACACAGGAGTAAGCTGTCAGTATTTATGCATGGGCTGTATCTATATGAGGCTGCAATCTGTGATGTCTAGCACTCTGAGAGGGAGTCAGTATTTATAGATACTATTTTTAAGTCTGCTGCAAACTTGCTCTTTAACTGGGGAAGTCAGTTAATCTAGCACTTAGGCAGTTTTACTTGTCAATTTTTTGTCAGTAATATTGGAGAGCAGTAATATTAAGAAGAGTATTTAGATGTTCTGGCAAACAAAACCAGATGATCAATAAGGTCTGAGAACTGTTGTAACTCAGGTAATACTTGCTAAGCTGACTGAAATCATACAGGTGCTGTAAAAATAAAGCATATGGCATAGCAGTGTCAGTGGGTTCTGATGCAATCATGGACAGGTTGCTTTACAACTAGTACTTTCTAAGTCATTGTTAATAGATAAGTTAAAAGAGAGTATCAGACTAAGTCACATTCAGACATAGTTGTACAGATACTACAAATTTGGTATTACTTTGCCTTAGCTGCTTTTTTAGACCATGGTCCTCATAAATCCAGATATGAACTCCTCAGTGCTCTAAGAAAGAAAATGGGTAAAAGCAGAGAACTTTGAAAATACAATTCCAGAAAGCCAGGGGAGGGGAAACGACAAAAAGTAGCCAGGACAGTGTCAATATTGTGAATTACAAATGTGTGTTCCAGCGTGATACAAAGTAGGCCAAGTCTGAAGAATGACACCTAGAGATAAGAGGCCGGCTTCAGGCATACACATTATACAGATCTTGTATATATGCTGAAGATAGGATTTCTGCCATTTTACATTAGCATAGTTACAATTTTAACTATGGTTAAGTTTGCTGAGTATAAAAACACACGAGCTAGCAAAAGAGCAAATTAGCTAGGGTGGGTCACAGGAAGTAAAATAACGGAATTTACTGAAGGGTTCAGTTAATACAGCAGAAATCCATCTTCTCTTACTCTGGATGTGTGGCAGATTGCATGAGGTAGGAATCAGGTAATAGCTACTGAAACTTCAAACAGCAGAAGGAAAACCAAGTACAATTCTTTTAGCCATCCTTTTATGAAAGTATGTGGGCAAAAGCTGCATCTTGTCCAAACATCCCTTAAGCATTTCATGTAAAAGCTTCAGTGGATGCTTAACCTAATTTTGCCTCAGAGTACCTTACAGTTAAATGCAATATGACAGAAGAAGATACGAATTCCAAGGGTTTCAAATGTGCTTAGCTGTAGCCGAATGGGGTTTGCACTCTATTTGTAAGCATACTTTTAAAGTGAGTAGTATTTCCTTTCCTTTGACAAAGTTTGCAGCAAGTTATGTTCATTTCTTAATATATATAAATTCTTTAGTCTTTTTCTGTTCAAGTAGAAACTGAAATATTTTTTATGAAAAATTTCATCAGGAGCTCAGTAGCATACCTTCAAAATCATTACTTAGTATCAAATCCCAGTTAATTTCATACCTGAAGTTGTGATTGAGCTACTGGTCGAACTGCTCTTTCTCCACACGTGAGTTGGTTTTCCCTTCTAAGAAGGTTCCTTTCATCAAGTATTCGATTGTGGGCTCAACTGTAATTAGAGCACGGCATTGTTTACTTTGGTAAAATCTTCATTCTAGATTTTACACAGAAAGGTGAAATCTGTTCAGATTTTTAAATGCTTTGGAGCAGAGGCTGTTACTTCTGACATTTGTACGGGAGGACAGCACAGCCTGCTTCTAGCACTTGTGCTACAGCAGCAAAATGTGTATGATATTGAACATGCACAGTATTTCCAGCTTGTAAGTTGCATGTAAATGAATTTCCCAGATTCTTCTGCATCTCAGTGGATAAAGGAGCTAGAGGAGAAGAAAAATAAATACTGAAAAGTAAACATCAAGGGAAAAGAAAACAAATTCCAATTTAAAAGTTACATCTCAGTCTTTTCTGTACGTTCTTCCTTTTTCTTCCTCTTGATTTGTATTTTGTATTTTAGTATCAGTCCAAATGCAAGATCTTGTAGTGTGAGCCTCTAAAAAGTTCTCATTTGAGAAAATTTTGTTTAATTTCTTGAAATATTTTGCCATGCGGTGGTCTCTGTTGCTTTGTCACTTCTCACATCAGCAAAACAGTATTTTCTTAAATTCTCTTGCATGTTCTATTAATGGATGACAGTGGGGCGAGTCAGATGTTCAGAGTTGTAGCACCAAAGGGGAAATGAGTGCAAATGAATTTGTTCTGTAGCAAGGCCAATAGTTGGGTCACTGCCAGTGTGTGTCTGTATTCTGTTTTCATATAAACCTCCTGGTAGCATTAATAATTTGTTCCTCTCTCTTAGGTGCACTGTTGGAGAAATAACCGATGCAATGAAGAAGGTGTTTGGGGAGCATAAAGCCAGTGACCGAATGGTGAGCGGAGCTTATCGCCAGGAGTTTGGAGAGAGTGATGAAATTCTTCATGCCATCAATAGGTGAGAATGGCTTCCCAGGTAGCTAAACGCGGCCTCACATTCAATCGTGAGATACCTGTGCTACTCGCTGTGACCTAAAAAAACATTTCCCAAATCTGAGTGACACTGACCTGTATAGGCATTCTCATGACTGTAAGCAAGTAAGCAGAAGAACTAAAAGAAGAGAACTAAGTGCAATAGTCAAAACTTAATTGAACTCCTATTTGCTGGCAAATAGAATTCACTGGGGTGATGTTATGATTTGAGAATTTTGTTCAAATAGACTATGCATAGGATTAAGAAGCTGAAAAACATTGCCTGAAGTACCCATACATTGAATTGCTTCATTTACAGACTGTATAATAGTAACCTCTAGAATATTTCCAGTACTTCATAGTTACAAAACCTGGTTTTGTTCTGCCCATAAGTTGTCCCTGCAGCCTCATTTTTACCGTTCCTAAAATTGTAAGGCTAAGATCTCTCTGGATATCTACATACAGCTTCCAGTCTCTGCATGTTACTTACTCATACCACGAGGGAGAAAAACATCAGAAGATGGTAGCATGTGTGAAAACACTTGCTTATTTGTGCCTTTTGTTAGCTTCTGCCTTAGCTGCTGTCCTCTTGGGTCAAGAGACTTAGTTGCTGCAGTGGGTGGTGATGTAATAGGAATTGATGCTCCTAAGTCCCTGCTGTGTTGGGGCTTACACATTTAAGGAGTTACAGGCTCTCTTGAAAGGGAATTTCTTGATGGCTTCACAATAGTGATGTTTAGCCTGACTTGACTTTCAAGTCAAGTTGTGCTGGGGAATGTCACTATCATTTTTTATTTTAAATATTTATTTTAAGTATTTTTAATTATACATTTACAACTTACAGGTTGGACAGGGCTTTGAGCAACCTGGTCTAATGGAAGGTGTCCCTGCCTGTGGTAGGGGGAGGGGAGTTTTCACTAGATGATCACTAAGGTGCCTTCCAACCCAAACCATTTATGATTCTGTGATTCTATGATTCAGATATCTACTTCGTTGATCTTCTCAGCAGTCCTTAGGAATAGAGGAGGCAGGCCCAAGTCCTGTACATCCTCAAGCCTGAAGCTTCTTCAGGCTCTGTTAACGTAATTCCTTTTTAAGCTGTCTGAGTTCTTATTTTTTTCCTCTTACATGCTGCATATTCCTGTCCTAGGATCACCTCCCGAGGCTTCTCAAATCTGTGCTAATAAATGCTTTATTTAGAGTCACCTTTTCACCTGCCTAAGCCACTGGATTCATACAGTGATCATCCTGGCCAGGTCAGCATATGGTTTCAAGGCACACCAAATCCATACAACTCCAACAGGTTGGACAGTGCTTTGGGCGACTTTGTATAGTGGAAGGCGTCCCTGCCCATGGCAGGGGGTTTGGAACTAGATGATCTTAAGGTCCATTCCAACCCAAACCATTGTGTGACTGTACGATTCTATGAATATTTTTTTCTTTTTTTAAAGAACCAAAACCAATAAAAGCTTCTATTTCTGAGAAGTGGCAGTGTTAGTGTCCCAGACAAAGACACATAGTAGTGGTACATGGATAATGAGCAGCAAGATGAAAGATTAGTATGTGAGGCTGTGATTATAGAGTCACCTTAATACAACAGAAATAGGAACTGCTACTAACCACAAGAAGGGAGGTGCTGAAATGAGTGCACAGAATGAGGGATACAGTTATCCTTTTTTGGGCAGACTTGTGCCCAGTTGAATGATGATGCACAGTATGATGTCTAGGACACATCTTTATGTGCCTGTGTGCCATACAAGTTCTTTTGAAATAATTGGTCATAATTATCCTTAAAATCTAAGAATTGTGTTTTAGTTAGTTGTAATTCAGCTTTATTAAACCCTCAGAGAATACAGTATTTTGTCCATTGGAAACCAGAAAAGTAGTGGAGTGGTTTTCTTTTAAAAAGAACATTTTATTGCTGTGGCTAGTAAATACAAGAAATCAGTTAGTAATCATATAACATGAAACTTAACATAGTGTGCAGACTACATAGACAAAGCATGGCTTAGAAGATCTTTTCATTTGATGTACAGAAATTATGCTACAGTTGAAGCCAGTGCTTTTTTTGTTTGTGGAAATACTTGTAGTGATTCTCAGTGACTTAGGAAGATACAATATGTGTTTTCAATCAGAGTTAACAAGTTCATGGATCGTGAGGGGCGCAGGCCTCGTATACTTGTTGCAAAGATGGGTCAAGATGGCCACGACAGAGGAGCTAAAGTCATTGCTACAGGATTTGCAGACATTGGCTTTGACGTGGACATCGGCCCCCTCTTCCAGGTATGACTGAGCAGTGTCCAGTGTTTTTCAAATGCAACATTTTTCTCTCTAATGCTTGTTCAGCAACAGAGCTCAAGCTATTACTTGTCATGTCATCCCCTTTCCATACAGACACCTCGAGAAGTGGCCCAGCAGGCAGTTGATGCAGATGTGCACTGTGTTGGTGTAAGCACACTTGCAGCGGGTCATAAAACTCTTGTGCCTGAACTCATCAAAGAACTCAATGCCCTTGACCGGCCAGACATTCTTGTCATATGTGGAGGTGTCATCCCACCTCAGGTAAGGGTCAACATCATTCCCATCAGGACTGAGAGTCTACTTTATTTCTGTCTGCACTGCTCTTAACTATTTCCTATATTCTGTTAATGTCAGATGGGATTTACAGCACTCAGGTCTACTGTGTACAATCACCACGGTCTGCACGCATCTGCAAGATGGTTGCAGTGTGCTGTCAGGTCTCACTGATCTGGTTTTCTGTACGTCATGTCCTGGTTTATCTTGCAGCATTCGTTGGATGGCATATTAAGTTGTGTTCTGAAAAGAGTAGCCTCGGGGAGATGTTCTTTATGTCCTGCTGTTTCTGATTACCAGTACCTTGCCATATTACTGTTAAAGGCTTGCTCCTAAGAGACTTTATGACTTCTGGTAACAGTTTGGAAGAGTCACAGCTAGTCATTAAGACACACAGTGGGTCCCACCACCTATAGGCTACATATCTCATTCCCCATTTAGCCTCTCCTCATGTTCATCAGGCCTCAGTGTTGCCTCTCATTCTTTCTGCTTTCTCCTAAACTGTTGAACTGTTTTCTGGATTCCCTTGTAGTCAGATCTATGCTTTTGCCTTAAAAATTTCCTTAGCTCATCCACAATTTCCCTGCCTGAATCACCTTTAGGGTCATCTTCTGTCTGGAGAGATTCAGTCTGATTTTGCATATAAATCTCCTGTTACACACCTTTCCCAGATGTCTTCTTTTTCTAGCCACTTAGGTGTTTAGGAATGACAGACTTTTAAATTGAACAAACAAAACTCATAGTATTTTTTCTAGGAGGTAAATTGTATTCTGTCAGTATCTCTCAATGGGATGCTGCTAACCTGTTGTTGAAAAATAATGTATCCTATATAGAGAGATAATACATAACTGCTTCCCAGGCCCTTTGAAATTTCAGAACAATCATAAAATCAGAGTGACTTAAATTGCAAGAGACTGCTGGCAGTCATCTGGCCAAGCCTTTGTTCAAAGCAGTATTTTCAAAATTAGAATCATTCTTAGATTAGGACATTCAGGGTCACATCCAGTTGACTTTTGAATGTTTTCCAAGGATCTGACATTAGTCTGATTCTGAGCAAATACAATCTTTCTCTGTGGTGTTTTCTTAATATTTCTTTTTTCCTCTGAACTACCAAATTTTTCCCATTTCCCTTTCTGCTGTGCTGCCTCTTTCTGGGACTTGTCCCACATACTTTCTCAGACCCAGCATACACAATAGAACATATACCAGTTTTAAATCAATTATCAATTTTCTGTAGCAGTCTTAACTATAGCTCTTAAATTTCTTTCTGAACAGGATTACGACTTCCTGTATGAAGCTGGTGTTACCAATGTGTTCGGTCCAGGGACTCGTATTCCGAAAGCAGCCATCCAAGTGTTGGATGATATTGAGAAGTGCCTGGAGAAAAGGCAGCAATCTATGTAATGCTGAATCATCACACAACGCAACCAGCCTTGTACTAATCACTTACAGAATGTAATCATCAGCAAGGGATGGCCAGCACATACCTTTGGTTCCACTGCCCTGTCCCCTGGTGTTTTGTGCTTTCTAAGAAAGTTGTAAATTAATTCTCTGCTTGTTCTGTTTGAGGGTTATTTATGTAGGTACCCACAAGAAAATTTTATCTCTACAATTATTGACTTCTGGGAATGAAGGGAACTCATTATGTGTGTTTGTTGGGTTTTTTTCCCATATATACTGATAAATAAAATATCCATTCCAGCTCTTTGCTTGATCTCTTTTTGCAGAGGACTTCTTATTTTTTGGCAGGTATTGTAGACCTAGAAGTCTTCAAGTAAGTCATTGAAGTTCAGTAGAAATGTGATTGAATCCAGCAGTACTTTAATCTTAAAATTAATCTGACTTAAATCTCTTTAGAGACATGTAAGTAGATAAACCATAATTTATCAAAGTTCATGGTTTGTTTAATGACATACAAATCCTGTCATGCATGTATAGGAGCAGCTGTGCATCTCCATTCTGTCTACATCACTGCCTATCCCCAATACATCACTCAATTGAATCAGTGATCATTCTCCCTTCCTTAGTTCTGTATTTTTGTCCAGTATTGTTCCTGCTGTCCCTGTCTACTTAGCACTTGGACTTTCTTTCAGGTAAATTGATGCTAAATTATCACCGTTTTTATCTTCCCTTCAGTAGTAGCGTGCTTCTGAGATGTTCAGCACCATCACACTTAATTCAAAATGAGATGTACTGTAATTGGTTGGAAATTGCAGATCCAACTAAGAGCATTGTATCCTCACCGCAAAGATTGCAATTGATGTAGATCTTTACTTAAAATAAGTTTGTTCCGGGAGACACATGCCTGTAGTCTCTCACTGCTCAGAAACAGGGTTTAATGACTTGCTGGTTTCTTCATAGAATCATAGGATTATTTGCGTTGGAAGGGACCTTAAAGCTCATCTAGTTCCAAACCCTGGCCATGGGCAAGGGCACCCTCCACTAGATCAGGTTGCTTGAAGCCCCTTCCCACCTGGCCTTGAACACTGCCAGGAATGGGGCAGCCACAGCTTCTCTGGGCAACCTGTGCCAGGGCCTCACCACCCTCATTGTAAAGAATTTCTTCCCACTATCTAATCTAGATCTCACCTCTTTCAGTTTAAAGCCAATCCCTCTTGACTTATAAAACATGCCCTTACAAAAATTCCCCATGATAGAAAAGCTGTTATACCTCAGCCAGCGACAGCACAAGTGCACAGTTCCTTTTGCTGAGGGATTCCTTCACTTCTTATTTTGCTATTTGTGACATGCAGAAGGCTTCCTTCACCAACTGCCACATTCCCACCTAACCTCTGCAGGCTGAGGCTGCGCAACTCCTTTTTGAGTTTGTGTTTTGAGAAGTTGAAACTACACCTCTGACAAGAGCAAGGGACTGTAGATCCCTATCAGATACTTTGGTATCAGACTTTTATCTCCTGACAGTGAATATTCCTTGCTACCTATGTGGTTTTCTGTCTGTTTTGTTGGAAAGCTGTATTATTTGGCAACACTTTGTGTTCAACCTACAGTTTTCTCTGATGGCTGTTCTACTGAAAGAGCCAAAAGCTTGCATATGGATTGCATTAACAAGTCAAAAGTATAAGAAATAAACCCCACAATAATAATTTCTCTTTTAATTACAACTGTTTCCCTGAAAATAAGTTTAGTTTACATGTTTTCCTGTTTAGTACATAAATCTATTATTTCCTCTAAACTGGAAATTCTTGAAAAAAATAGCAGGTTCTTTTGCTGTGTAGCATAAAGATAATATTTGAGAGTTGCTTAAAAATATATACTTAAACCTCTGTATTTGACATAAGATATGCAGTGCTGCATTCCTACTCACTTGGACCCCCGGGGAGACCAAGTTTTGACCTCCTTTGTGAAACCATTGCTGCGTTTCAGCGAGTTGCAGCTCTCTGGTTCTCCACCTTTGCAGCTGAAGAGAGACGCACGTTATCTCTCCCGCTCCACATCATCGATACGGGATTTTCGGCAGAGTTGTCAGCGCTGAAGAAATGAACTCGCCATCCACAGCAACACTGCAGCTGTTTGAGTTCACAACGGAAAGTTTTGCTGAAGAAGTAGTAAATAAAAGGGTTATACGCTGTTGAAGATTTGGCAAACAGACAGGGCAGCAGTGTGACTATGGGCTGCAGGGAATCGCTGGGGTTAAATATGGACCAGAAGCTGGCTGCTGCATATGGTGTCCACGAGCTCAGGAACCCGACCGAGATGAGCACAGCCATCTGAAAGGGAAACAGGGCTTCAGTTCTCAGTGGACACTGACACTGAGGCATGTGGTGTGTGGATGAAACCACACCTGAATCAGCTGAAATACCTGAAACTGTATACTTGCTATGTTGTGATGTGAGCACAGCTGACACTGGACAGTGTGTATATGCTTTTATTCTCACCTAGCAGATCTACACTGTGGGTTTCTTGCAAGGCACTTGTTTTCATCTCCTTCCCTGACTCAGGCTGCAGTATGTCACAGGAGACACAGCCTAACCGGACATCAACAAACTGGCCTCTAGAAATCTTGGGTCAGTTCTGCTTTTCCAGAAGAAACTAGCAACTGAAGTGCTTATTTGAAGCAATGTTATTTTAAAAAATCCTTTTTCCATACAGGATTTCTGTGTAACTCTCAGCATAGCCACTCAGTCAATTAAACATGACTAGAATGGCAGAGCAAGACCTTCGCCCTAGCTACATCATGAAAGAATCCAGCAGCTCTTCCATCATGACTGGAAACCTGGTTGTCCATTAAAAGCTTGGATGCAACTGCCTAAAGATTTAATAAGCTGTACTGTAGTTATGATATATTATTGTGACCTGGCTACTGGAATGACAGTGTGGATGACACTGGAACCACATCTCCATCTTTGGTCAATACTAGACAGAAGAAATGAAGGGTCATCATGAGCCATGCATGAGCAGAGCCAGTTCTCTGCAAGCTCCTGATTACTGTAGGCTCTTCTTACTGCTGGGACAACTCACCAATGTCAGCTTCTTCTCCAGTTTAGCTGCATTTGGGATCCTGTCAATATTCTGGATCTCTTGGTATGCTTTATGAACCTTCCATGCAATTCCCAAGTAGCAAGTAACGATGGTCAGTGCAGGCAGGACTGTGCACAGGAGGAACATGCTCAGGATGAATGAAAAGCCATTGGAGGAGTTGTGGAACTTGCTCCAGGCTATTGTACAAGAGATGCCAAAAGGCTCAGGACCATAGTAGCCCCAGCCTACCAAGGGCAGAATGGCCCAGAGCAAGGAGTAGAGCCAGATGAAAGTAATCAGGGTGCGAACAGTGTTCTTGGTGATTTTGTTACCTGAAAGAAAGAGGAAGAGCAAGCATGTATGAAACTCACCTCAGCCACATGGTTTTTGCTGTAACTTCTCAAACAGAAGGGTGGTAGCTACAAATATGCTTGGGCTGCTGCTGCAGTTCCTGAACCTTCGTCCTTCTTGAGGAATGTAACAGAGACTGTCCATGGATTGGGTGAGACCTGAGTGCAGACTTCAGTGCTGATCTAAAGTTTATTAATTCAGGGAGCTTTACAAGATCAAGTTGACCCCACATGTATCATGCACCCAGCTCAGGAGTGCCAAAGAACACTCCTTCCTCTCAAGTTCCAGTATGTCAGTATGTCTGCTTACACACAAATAGGAAGCCAAGAGTCCAGTCCAGCAAAACATTTGGGCACTCCACTCTCAGGTAGTTTCACTTGGTATTATTGAGAAGTGGAAAAACTCATTGTTTCGTAAGGAATTTAATCAGATCCTTCTAGGAACATTAGGGTTTGATATTAGACTAAAAGTTGAGACTCATTCCTACAGTTACTAAACTGATACTCCATACCATATTCCACAAAGTACTCTCTGAACATAACAGCCCAAATGCACCACTACAAGGTTACCAGAAACGTAATTACTTACTGTTAGATTTGGATGAGTTGGTAACAAGGAATCGAATCACGGCCATGGCACAGAGGGTCATCATGCTGCAGACACCAAAAAGGAAACCCATGAGGGCATAATATATGCAGGATGCATCTCCTCCCAGCCAGGCGTGGTTCCAGGCAGATGCGATGGCCAGCGGATACATGCTGATGGCCATTCCAATATCTGCTACTGCCAAGTTGACTGTAAGCAGCTCCGGTGACTTTAAGAGGGAAGAACGTTTCACGGCTGTAGCAAGGACAGCTGAATTTCCAAGGATTGTCAGGATGGCTGAAAGAGAAGCATCGGCACAGACAATAATATCACATAGTTAACACAGCTGTGAAATGTTAACCTAGGACTAATGTCCAGAAGAGAGGACAGACTAGGAGACCAGCCAGAATTCAGCACCTCCCAGGCCAGCACAGCACTGTGATGCTTTTCTGCTCCCAGGCCAGCACAGCACTGTGATGCTTTTCTGCTATAAGTATCAGCAGAATACTTGTGTGTATCTGCTATTCCCTGCCATGACACCTTGTTCTTCAGCTTATGGTGAGGAAATTCATTCTCTTAGCTGGCAGCTAGGAAGTGCTGCCTGGATGGCATTTCCGAGAGCTGCTACACAGCTCAGCATCCTCATCACAGCACCCACTGGACCGAGGGAAATTTTGTCATATGAGTAGTAGACCATATCTTGCCCTTTCATACCACCGCACTGTAGATCTTCACTTCCACATCACACTGCCTCTCCACGCGCTATATCCCACCTATTCCCCTGTGGCTTCTCTCTCATGTGAATAGCCCATACCCCTTCACTCCACTCTCTTTCAGTATCTTGCACAACACACTATCAAGTAAAATAGGCATATACATCTTCATATTTCCCTGGTAATATCCTTACTTACTTCTCCTTCCTACTGAAAAACTCCAGCTGTCCTGCATTCTTGTCTCCTCTTCTCAACTGGTGCTCTCCACTTCCCAAA